CTAGTCTGCATCAAATTTGGAGAGCTTGGCTTGTAAGATCCGGCTTTCCCAAAAAGGAGCGGTTAGCTGACACATCTCGCGTGCGTCATGAGCCAGCGTCAGCGCTGAGCGCGTCAGCGAAATCGGAAGAGGTCACAGGCGGGAACACTCAAGTTGGTGTGGTAGCGCAATCCGGCGTCCCGTTACAATTTCCACTACGTTTGCACCCTTCTGACTGATGGCATGCTCTCAAGTCCAGTGCTACCTCAGTATGTGATACAGCTTGTGCTATGGAGGTCGACGATGGGGGAGGGAAAAAAACGCGCCCAACGAGGTTCGGGTGAATTCTGGTCACGTTCGGTTCGCCACAGGCTTCCTTGCGTGATGAGCATGACGCTCGCTGGCTGATTTGCGTCATCGCTTTTCCCTTCTGGGATGGCTCGAGCTTACAAGCCAAGGTCTCCAAATTTGAGGCAGACCATGCATCGGAACGACTGTCTTCCGTGCATGGTCTGCATCTGGAGACTAGGCCAAAAGAGCACAGCCTGTGACTTCTTGTGACATTGAATCACGCTCGAAGCTGACAATTACTGGTTCTGAAACCTGGTCCTAACGGAACCAGGAACGGCGAGCAGTTAATCAATGTCAGCTGGACCAAAGAACGCGAGAACGCCGGTGATGAAGGATGAATGTTGATATAGCTCAGATATAGGCTGTCCAGTTTCTCAGGCGCACTGCCTCGGAGAAAGAATGAGCTGAGATCGAGGACATCACCATCTGCGTAGTGAACTGCGAGCCTGGTTAGAGAGGGGAAAGTATGATCGTCGAAGTGACGCTGAAGTGCCAAAGGGGGCGTATCGTTCTGCAGGTTGAAGTGCAGACTCTTTACGCGATGATGGGCTTCTGGGAATACCAGACGCGCGATCTGATCGTTATCCGCCTTCAATAGAATATTGATGGTCCCGTCCGGTGCACCTTTGTCGACTGCAAGCTTGATGTATGCAGGACCAAGGCTAATCACGATATCCGACCAAAGGGCAGGGGTGGAATCCACGATCTCGTGCCACTTCTGGCAAACAGAGCGCAGAACCATAGGAGTAGGTGGCAGTTGCCTGGCCTGTCTTGGCACAGAGCGCGGAGACGGTGCTCCAGCGGCACAGAACAGGAAGATGGATCGTAGAACATCGGAGGAAATGGAATGGATTGGCCCTTCTCCGGCGGCGTATTCCTGAGACAGCTGATGTTCTTCTGTACACATCTCCTTGAGGATTTGCAAAAACACGCCATGATCTCTATGCGCATGGTCCCAAAGGGAGTGCGCATGCGCTTCGTCACCGGGATGGGTGACTGCGGCGGCGGATATAGCAATCTCGAGCCATGCGCAGACAATGGAGCTACCAGCAATATATGGCATGGCTGCCTACATACACGGATCAGGAGAGGGCTAACACGATGGCGGGCCAGGGACGACTAACCTTCAGTTTCTCTATGTTCACAGTTGCCCGAGGGCGTGGGCTCTGAGTATAGACTGCCCCTACCAGGCGCGCGAAACCTTGGAAACGAGCAGTAAGCTGCTCAAGTGCTTCGTCCGTCGATATCGGGCCAGCGTAGGCGGATCGTTCCATAAGTAGTGGTAGCAATGTAAGGCTAGCCTCCTTGACAGCCTCGCGGCCTAGGAAGGAGAGCGAATGAGTAGCGATAGGACGACCATCCGACATTTGTGACAATGAATAGTTGATGAATAGATCGGCGACTGTCGCAAGCGATGAGCACTTAGAACAACTATGTAAGGGGGTTTGGACGCACCGAATGGGAGTAAGAGGCAAAGGGTTGAGCGACTTTGATGCACGCCTTCAAGGCGTGTCGAGTGATTCGCGTAGGAATCTCACGCCATTGAACTACGAATGGGCGTCAACCTTAGATGTTGCGTTACGTCACCACACTGAGAGTAGTATGAGTATATCCCGTGCATGTAGTAGGCCACGGGTCTTAGTTGAAACTACAGGGATGTATCCCACGAATACAGTGCAGGTGAATGAGTGAGACGCGAAGAGCGATAATGATAAAGGTAGAAGAGAAAAATAGAACGAGAGTGATCGAGATCCTTGATATAATAGAAGAGAATGCGAGATCATGAGCGCAACGCCTGCACCGCGCGTGCCTCGCGCTGTCCAGGCCAGTCGGACGTAACGGTCTCAGCAACCCAGCGGGTGTCCTCTCCTCGGCGACTGACGCTTCCCGAAGTGGATGCAACAGCAGGTGCATGATCGACGCCAGCCGGCGCGCTGAGCGGGCGCTGCAAGCGGCGACGTACGCGCTCGCCATCTGGACCCTTAAGTGACCCTTTGCGGAAGAAGCGCGCAAGCTTCGCGCCGAAAGGACGAGCGAACTTGGGCCAGCATGCGGGACAGGCGAGGCGAGACCCGTCGTGCGAGTGGTTGTGAGGGAGGTATCCGGTGTTACCGCCTATCAGAGGCATCAGTAAAAGTGTATATGGAAGTGGAACGAAGACGTACAGTGCGGGCACACTTCGCCCTCAGGATATACCAGGATCTGTCCATCACGAAGTAGAGGACGGCCTTCGGCGGGCTCCATACTCGGCAACCCTTCGAAGCCCTCCACTGCAGGCATAGCGCCGTCGGTCGTTTGCGCCCTCGACAGAGATGACGTACTAGCGTTAGCCTCGGGCATACGGTTGACGGTGACGCTGCTATCGTTCCGCCGACTCTGTATCCGCCGCAGAAGGCTGCCGCCGCCGTTCGAGTTCGACATGCTCGTCTCACTCGTCATGACGCTTGAAGCGCGATCAAGCGGCACAGCGACGGGCGCCTCGGACATACTGATTGCCCGTTTACGCGAGAAGAGCGCCTTGATGCGATCTCTGGCGCGCCTGCGTTCGCCCGCGCCTTCCACGCGCATGTAGGTCGGTGGTATCACGTCGCCTGAGTCCAAGGGCTCGAGTCGGAGACCGCGCGGAGGCCAATTGGGAGCGTTCGCATCGGAGTCGGGCGAGTCTGACTGTGGTTGGGGTGCGGCACCGCTCGTGATGCTCGGCTCGCTGCCTGAGAGTGCGGCGCGAACATCGGCGGGTAAATGTGACAGGTTGATGTCGATGATACCGCCGACCTGCGGGATGGCGGCACGGTAGGCTCGGCGAGGTCCACGAGCGAGAGTTGCCTCGCCTGTGCCAGCACGCAACATATACGCCGGAAGAGGCTCGCGTTCGCCTTCCGAGTCGAGAATAGCAAGGGTGTTCTCAAACTCTGTGAGTACAGATATCTGCGAGTGTGGCGAGTCCGTGCTGGACGCCTCTGGTTCGCGTTCAGCCATAGGTGCGCGTGCAGGAAGGGCCTGGGGCATGGCAAGAGGCGCCTCGAAGACGGTGTTGCTGTTGTCGTGGAAGGCATATGTAGGTGGTATCGTACCCTGTACCGCGGGCACACCCTCTGCCCCTGTCGGAGGTAACGACGGCAACGGTCCCTGCGGCGGGCTCATCCTCGGCGGCATCTGAGAGGGACTCGAGCGTCCGCTCCTTAATGCACTGGCGCGACTACCTGGATGAAGAGACGAGCGCGAGCTCTGCTGGGACAATGACGCGCGTGCCCTATCGGCAGAACCCGGACGCGAAGACGAGCGCATGAGTTGAGAACTCATTGTCGCATCGCGGATCGACTGCGTCGAAGACGTGCGCATATGACCAGGTGGTGGGGGAAGAGGACGGGGCAGAGATGCAGAGCTCTCTGGACGAGGTATCGATGCTGTGCTCTGCGGACGCGGGTTGGCGGGAAGCCCCACGCGACCTTGGAGAGACGAAGTACGGCGCGGAGGTGACATGCTGGTCTCGCGACGTCCATCGTTGCGGAGCTGCGAGAGAGGTACGTCATTCTCGTCGATGACAGTGTTGGTTGGCACTTCGCGCACGGGTGTAGTGCTGCTTGAACCGGTGCGCACTCCCATGTCTTCGGCTACGTCGAGCGGTAGACCAGCGCTACCAGGCTGCTGAGGCCGCGCAGTGCCCGAGCTCGTCATGCTCTCCGTCTCGGACTCGGTCATGCTCGATCGCGCAGAAGATGCGACCGACGTAGCGAATGTTGTCGCGCTCACGGTGGACATGGGCCGCCTCGAAGCGTTGAGACCACCTGGCATCTGGAGAGGATTCAGTCTGACTGAACATGTATGCAAGCCAAAGACGCACCTGAGTTGCTAACGAGGACATATCATCTGTATGCGCGGCAGCGGCGGCCTCGAATGCGGCCGTCATACCAGCTGCACTCGCCGCCGCCGAGAAGGTCGGCTTCATAGGGACAGGTTCCACGACCTTTGGCATAGACGAATTCGCCGCACGCTCGAACGCAGCCGCCATTCCTGCAGCACTCGCGGCCGCAGAGCCAGATGTCTTCTAATACACAAAAGTCAGCTCCAGATCGAAGTATACTGAATGCGCGACACGCACCGTCTCCTCCACTTCGCCAGCTCGTTGAGCAGCCATCTCAAAAGCAGCGGCCATTCCGGCCGCACTAGCTGCAGCAGAACCCGAGATCTTCCTCGTGCCCTCCGAGCTTTCGGCAACCATCTCGAATGCAGCCGCCATACCAGCGGCAGACGCTGCGGGTGATCCCAAGTGCTTATTCGGAGACTCGGCGCGCTGAGCGGCAACTTCGAATGCGGATGCCATAGCGGCTGCAGATGCCGCCGGCGAGCCAGAGCGCGACTTCGAACTCGATGCGGAGGCTTCGACGTTCCCTGCGCGTTGAGCAGAAGCCTCGAAAGCAGCCGCTATTCCTGCAGCAGACGCGGCCGCCGAGCCTGAAGTCTTCTTCGGACTCGATGCGGTTTGAGCGGTCATCTCGAATGCAGCAGCCATAGCCGCAGCTGATGCAGCTGGCGATCCCGACCGCGACTTCGGCGATGCACCCTCAACGCGGTCAGCCGCCGCCTCAAACGCTGTGGCCATGCTGGCAGCCGACGCGGCTGGAGAGCCTGAGCGCTTGGTGGGGGTTGTCGGACGTTGAGCAAGAGCTTCGAAGGCGGCTGCCATGGTCGCGGCACTCGCGGCGGCAGAGTCAGATGTTTTCTGTATTGGGAGTCAGCGAATGGATCAAGTACAGCTGTCATGATGCACGCACCTTGCTCATGGGTCCTGCAGCAACCGCCTCAAAAGCAGCAGCCATCCCCGCCGCGCTCAATGCCGCCGATCCTGAACTCTTCTTCGGACTCTCCGCGCGCCGAGAAGCCGCCTCAAACGCAGCGACCATCTCAGCAGCCGACAGCGCAGCAGATCCAGATGGCTTGTTGGAACTCTCCGCGCGCTGAGCAGCCATATCAAAAGCCGCTATCATTCCCGCCGCAGAAGCCGCAGGTGAACCAGAACGCGATGTCGAGGGTGTATGTGTTGCACTCTCACCACGGAGAGCAGCGGTCTCAAATGCGGTCGCCATAGCTGCGGCTGACACAGCGGCTGACTTTGAGCGCTTCTTGGGGCTGTCCGTCACGGGGTCGTCGGTGCGCACAGCAGCGGCTTCGAATGCGGCGGACATGCTGGCGGCTGACACAGCCGGTGAGACAGAGCGTGATCTTGAGGTTGATGCGATTAGACTCTCGGCGCGTTCGGTAACAGCGTCGAATGCGGCGACCTCGTTCGCAGCAGAGAGAGCAGGCGAAACAGAGCGCGACCTGGACATCGAGGGAGTGGAGCTTCTAGCATGTTCAGCGATGGCATCAAACGCGGCGACCTCCTTTGCAGCAGAAAGAGCAGGCGAGACGGAGCGCGATCTTGACGTTGAAGCGACAGGATTCTCGGCGCGCTGAGCGATGGCCTCGAATGCTGCAATCTTGCCCGCTGCAGATATGGCGGGTGAGATAGAACGCGACCTCGGTGATGCGGCAACGGGAACATCTGCGCGCTGTGCGGCTGCCTCGAAAGCGGCTGCCATGCCGGCGGCTGATGTAGCGGGAGATGCAGAGCGCTTCTTGGGCGCTTCGCCTCTGCTCGTGTCCTGAGCGCGGAGAGCGGCGGCCTCGAAAGCGGCTGCCATCCCTGCGGCAGAAATTGCGGGAGAGTGAGAACGCGAGGTTGAAGAGGAAGCAACTGGATGAGCAGCTTGCTCGAAAGCGTCGTTCATCGCGGCTGCAGATAACGCAGGCGAGATCGGACGCGTCTTCCGTTGAGAAGTCGCCTCAAAGGCAGCGGCTTCACTCGCCGCCGACAACGCTGGAGATACCGAGCGAGACTTGGAGCTCGAGGCAACAGCGTTCTCGGTGCGTTGAGCGGTAGCTTCGAATGCTGCAGCCATTCCAGCCGCAGACACTGCGGGCGAAGCTAAGCGCTTCTTCGGGCTCTCGGCCCGGGTTCCGGCAGCGCCAAAAGCGGTAGCCATCGCAGCTGCAGACGACGCTGGAGATACCGAGCGCGGGTTGGAGCCCGAAGCAACGGGTCGAGCGGCGGCTTCGAAGGCGTCGCCCATCGCAGCCGTAGAGACAGCGGGCGAGACCGAACGCGACTTGGACTTGGAACGTTGTGCGGTGGTTTCGAAAGCAGCAGCTTCACTCGCAGCCGACAATGCCGGAGATATAGTTCGCAACTTTGAACTCGAGGCGACAGGTTGAGCGGTAGCTTCGAAAGCTGCAGCCATTCCAGCTGCAGACACCGCGGACGAGGTCGAGCGCTTCTTCGGACTCTCGGCCCGCGTGCCGGGCGCTTGAGAGACTGCCTCGAACGCAGCAGCTTCACTCGCCGCCGACAGAGCTGGGGATACCGAGCGCGACTTTGAGCTCGAGGCAACTGGTCCCTCGACGCGCTCGAAAGCGACATTCATCGCAGCTGCAGATAGCGCAGGCGAGGCTGAGCGCTTCTTCGGGTTCTCGGTCCGGGTGCCGGCTGTTTCGAAAGCGGTGGCCATATCAGCGGCAGACAGCGCCGGAGATATCGAGCGAGCCATCGAGCTCGAAGCAACAGCACTCTCGTCTCTGAGTCGTTGTGCGGCGCCTTCGAACGCAGCAGCCATGCCCGCGGCACTCAGCGCCGCACTCCTCTCCGTCTTCCTCGGCACATCCTCCTCCGTCGCCGCAGCGAGCGCCACGAACGCCGCATCCATCGCAGCAGCACTAACAGCCGCATTCCCCTTTCCCCTCTTACCCTCCTTCCGCGCAACATCCTCGAACGCCTCGTCCATCCGCGCCCTACTGACCGCCGCATTCCCCACACTCCTCTTCGTCTTGACCAGCACCGGCAGAGTCCCAACGATGCCCCCGCTCGGCCCCGCAACGGCGCTGAGTACAAGCGGACTCTGCTCCGCACTCTTCGGCGGCGCGGGCGGTGCTTCGCTCGGTGGAGGCGGGATACTCGTCGCGAGCGGCGTCGGCACCTTCTTATTCTCGTACGAAGGCACGTCGAGCGGTTTGGGGCGTTTCTTGATAACAATCGGTGGTCGTTTCTCCGTCGCGAACACGCGCGACTGGATCGGGAGCTGGTCGATCGGTGTGGGGGCGGGCGTTGCAGCTGGTGAGGGTGAAGGAGGGGTACGGGAGGACCAGGAGAGGTCGAGCGTGGATGTGGGGATGAGGACATGTTCCAGACTCGCCGTCGCCCTGTGTCCGGGAGTTGTGGTAGAGCCCTTATTACGCTTTCCGAAATTCGCGATCTTTTCTTCTTGAGCGCGTTCCTCGTCCTGCTCCTTCCTCAGCGCGCGCATCCGCTCTTCTCTATCGAACCCATCATCCCGTTCCGCGCGCGGGCTCCATAGGTCCGGGACTTTCACCTCGACCAGGTCGTCGTTTAGGGATGGAGAGGGAGAGCGCGAGTGAGGCGGGCTAGGCGCGAGAGGCAGGAAGCCGCGTTTCTTGCCCGTGCCGGGTGCGGGCGAGGGTGTATCGGGCGAGATGGCGTACTCGTAGTCGCCTTCCCACTGCGGCGGCGCAGGCTGATGTGCCGCAGGTACCTGATGCTGAGCGGGCTGCGGCTGGGCGGGAAGCGGGCGCAACGGACGAGAGGCTTGAGCATGAGATTGGGATTGGGCGGCGCGGCAGTCGTCCGTGCAGTCGTCCGTGCTGGCGTGCACCTCGCACACCGTCTCCCTCGCCACGCCGGGTTCCAGGATCGGGAGCGCGGTCTGACTTTGGACGGGTAGTGGTAAAGGCAACGGACGGCCGTGCGGGTCCACCGTAACGGGACTAGCCCTCTGCGCCATCTTCGGCGTCGCGATCCTCAATTTCGACAGCTGGCCGGGCGACAAGATCGACGAGTCGAGCGACGCGCGCGGCGCCGGCATGCGCTCTTTCTCGTCCATGTACAGCTCCGGCATCGGCATGTCCTCGTCGTACTCGTCCATCTCCCCGCCAAACCCCGCACCTGCCCCCAGTAAATTCGGCGCGCCCCGCTCGAACCCGTAGCCCACTTTAGCACTATCGAGCTCTTTCGCGGCGGGCGATATTAGGAAGGCGCTTTCGGGGTCGGGGTAGATGGATGACGGGAAGGATTGGGTGCTGTCGGCTGAGGCTTCTTTGGCGCCGGGGCCCGAGGCGAGCCGGATGTCGAGCGCGAGGGGCAGGCCGACGCTGTCGCGCTCGAAGGGGCGAGGGGCGCCGGGTTTGGGCGCTGTTGAGTTGCGTGTGCGCCGGGAAGGGAGAGGTCCAATTGTCGAGTGGGACGATGTGGACATTCGGGCGGGCGAAGAGGTGGTGGGTGGTGCCGGTGTTGTGGGATCGCCGGATGCGGATGGGGCTGGGGTAGCCGACTTGCGGCGTTTCAGCCACTGACGCATGACGGCGAAATAATAGACGGAAGGGTAGGGATGGGGAGGAGGGAAAAGCGGCTGACAGACGACGTACGGGTGTCTTATGAATGCTCGGTCGGCGCGGGCGGAGAGCGGGGACTGCGAGTGTTATGCTATCCGTTCTGATGCTGCCGTGAGTGAAGGCTGCTGCGAGGAACGAGCGTCTCTCGTACACGTTAGGTATAACACCTGCCTGACGAATTGGATGAATGGAGTGATTGCGCCGAGGTGCCGAGGATTCGTATTGGGAAGCGGGCAAGACGGCGTGTGCAGATGTCGCTTAGTGTCAAGTTATGCGGCGTAGCTCTGGTGGGAAGAGGTGCGGATTAAGCAGGTTAATAATTATCGTTATACGGAGGACGTGTCGTTGAGGTCGTGATGATGGTAAGAGAAAGAGATGGCGTTTGTTCGAGTGTCAGGAAGCAGTAGCCTCCGCTCAGGACGGAACGCTGGCCGACGACAGACAACAACGATCCGCTGCAGGCGGTGCACGGAGCGCTCAGATCAAAAGACAGCTTGTTCGCATCAATACACGAGAGGTCCGGCCATGACCTGACGCGAGCGAGACTGGGCCAGTGCACGAGAGACATGGATACGGCATATATCAGCACCGCTCTTGAGCTGATCCAGCTACAGGTGGGGGTTGGACGCAAATCCTCGAAGCGGGAGGACAAGAACAAGCGCCGTGGGTCCATGCTTGCGCACCGCGTGGTTACGGGACGCGGGCCTATCAGGCCGAAGAGGTTGCGAAGCCGCTCACCGCCGCTCGCGCCTTGACAGTGACCGCCATGGGCCAGGAATACGACGTGTCCAACTCGCATGCCATACAGTAGCAGTGACTTTGGCTTATCCTTACGACTGAGCTTTCAGGACAGCCGCGATGCTTGACTTCAACGAGGCGGCGCTAAACCGCGCGGGGGTGAGTATAAGGGAAGTGGATGCCCGCAATTAGACCTTCGGAACTCCTTCCACCATGGCGCGTCTTAGATGTCTATCGACTTTACTTCGGTCACTTACCAGAGAATACTCGCAGACAACCTCGACACTCACGAAAGATGTTGAGTTTTACATCGCGGACCAACTCTGCGTCGTTGCCGTGCGTTTGCGTGCTACTTCACTCGCTTCCGAGCTAACTCTAGTCTCGTGCTGATAGGTCGAGACCACACTCTTCAAAGTGCATCGCTCGATGCTTGTACAATACTCTGAAGTCTTCAAGGGCATGTTCGTTGACGGCCTGCCCGCCTTCTCCAATGGCGATGGCGCTTCGGATAAGAATCCGATCGTGTTAAAGAGCATCACCGCGTTCGACTTTAGATCCTTCCTGAAGATAATTTATAGAAGGTTCGCACTTCACTCGAGGCTAGTCGCCTTGGAATTGAGTGCTGATGCCAGCTGTAGTGCGGACGCAGGCTTCACACTCACGCCAGAGTGGCTAGCCGTCCTTTGCGTCGCACATCGTTACCAATGTCCCGGCATTCATGCACGGGCGTTGGACTATCTCCAGGGCGGATTCAAGCCATCCAGCCGGTCTCCTAGTCGGCGGAAAGGGGAATGGGGGCCTGAACCGGGTGCTGCTACGCTGAGCGACGCCGTTCGCATTTTGGGCGCCGCTGAGTCTCGAGGAATATCCGTCAATTACTTCAACCAAGGCGCGCTTTGCGACGCAGTGTTGCGTATCGCTTCTCTGTCAAAACTCGAATTTGAGCTCGTCTCTTCTCAACTAGCTGCGCAGCTGACTCATGCGCGGGAGCTGAAGCACTATCTTATCAGCCCCAATACCGTCGACAAGGCGGACACTTCCTTTCAACACTACAATCATCAGTACTCGCGAACTTTATGGCCCAAACTGTATGCATGACGCCAACATGACCCGGTTTCAAGCGCTGATCATAGCTTCTATCACAGTGGGAATGAGGATCCGCACTTCAGCCTCTTTGAACCAATGACCCCATAAGTATTTACTGGAAGGGTTCCCTTGTATGGCAGGAAGCGTATCATTCTGTGTATCAGATCATCTTGTCCAACTGGTTTATACCAGGATCACCGCGCTCAATCGCTTGCAGTGCTCGCTGTCGTCCGTCCGGCCCGCCCGCACTTAACCCGCCCGAAAGCATTCGACCTCTGCAAAGAGCGTCACACATGCAGACCTGCATAGAGTATGCTGGTAACAGTGTGCTGCATGGCACGGACCTATCAAGAGCCACCTTGAGAATCGACGCCATTAGAAGACGAGCCTACACCACGAGGACATGAAGATGCTTCGATGCAATGAGGCAGCGCTTATAGCGAATGATAAAGAGCTGACGCCACAGATAGGTCTTCTACTACGATTGCTCTCATACTACGCACATGGTACATCGTGGTCCTCCAGCACCGATCTTACTTTATGCTGACTGAGGCTCAGGCGGAGCAGACGTACAAGGAAGACCCGGAGTACTACATCACCGACCAGCTCGACGTGTTTCTCGTGCGCATCGCCCTGTTGTGCTTCGCCACGCTACTCACATCCCATGTAGGTCGAGGATACCCTCTTCCGAGTCCATCGCTCCCTTCTCGTGCAACACTCCCGCGTTTTCAAAAACTTGTTCGTCGACGGTCCGCCGACGCCCAATGGAGTGGGTTCCTCGGCTGATGGTCCTATCAAATTGAAGTGCGTCTCTGCGTCGGACTTCAGAACGTTTCTCAAGGTTATTTATAAAAGGTGTGTACCTTGGAAGTCCAAGAATGCTCCGCTTGCCAACGTCGACGCTTGCAGCGCGGAGCCTCGATTCGCTCTCGACCCTGAGGGGTGGTTAGCGGTCTTGTGCGTTGCACACCGCTACCAATGTACAGGTATACACGAGCGCGCGTTGGGTTACCTGAACAAAGGTTTCAATGCGTTATACGTCAAAGATGAACTACCTCAGAAGCCTGGAACGTTCGATGGCATTAGCGATTCAGCACGAATCCTCGCGGCAGCGGAAGCCCGTGGTATCTCGGTCAACTATTTTGTTCAAGGGGCCCTTCGGGACATTGTCATGCGCAAGAACTCTCTATCACTCGCAGAGCTCAAACTATTGTCTTTGCACTTGGTCATGCGATTAGGAAATGCGCGAGAACATAGAATATGGCAGGGAAATGGTGCCCAGGCAAAGAATTCTGTTATGGATGCCCGTTATGAATTATATGTCGCGAACGTGACATGGCCGAAACCGTGCGTGGTTACTCTCGCCAATTTTCGTATCTTTCTTATCTTTCTTACTAGTGCAATTGATGATCCGCACTTCACTCTCTTCCAGGCGATGAGCGAACCCGGTGAGGAGTGAGCTCTCGACGGTAGTATCCTATATCAAGCGCCGTTAGTTCCGCGCTCATTGACTGTGAGGAGCTCCTGTAGAGACGACAATGTACAATTTTGTGTAGATTGGCTCCTGATGTTAGGCGTACGCACTCATGAGAGATGGGCATCACATTTGCGAGACAAAGGATGTGAGATCGAGTGCGAGGGTCGCAAGTAGAACGCGGGCCGGTTCGGGCCGGCGACCAAAATGCGTGTGATGATCCTCGCCACGCGTTGAACGCGTTTTGGTCGTGTTCTTTTGCTGTTATCTCTTTGCGAAAGCGTCTTTGTGATGAAGTCGCTTTTGCAGTTTACACGCGACTGTGGTCACGCATGATACCGATACACACGTCGCGAGTTCGTACAACAAAACAAGACGCAGATGCTGCGGCCTAAGCCCGATTAGTAGTGGTAGGTTCAGCCTTCCGGATTGGGAATCCTCCCTTTCAGCCTGTATGCCTATATACCATGGGCCAGGTCGGCACTGATGGACCATCCTACCTTCACCCCCCGCATCGAGCCCGTCGTTCCAGCACATCTGCCAATCGACATGAAGCGCTCTGCTTCCCCGTCCCTTCGCGCATCCAAACGAGCGAGGCGTGCGCCCATCCGTACCCCGCAGACTATGGCGCAGCGTCTCGCGCTTCTCACCCCCGAGGAACTTGCAGCAGCCGAGACGGCAAGGCTTGTCACCAAGCTCAAGGTGCTGCAGGCGAAGTCGGCAAAGGAATCACAAACGCGGGGACCTAAGCGTGATACTCATTTCTATATGTCGGATCCGTTCTCTTACGAGACACGCGACCCGGACGGATTGGTGACGCTCGTGCAGGTAGCGCAAGATGACATGTTCATATTCCTGGTGCGCGCATTCACTCCTCTATACCTCTATAACACAACTCATACCTTCATATAGGTTGAGAATGTCCTCTTCCGGCTGCCGCGCCCTCCTCTTGTCGCGCACTCTGAACTCTTTGCCAATATGTTCACGTTTCCACCTCAGCCTGATGTGGGCCCTGAAGGCCGATCAAACGATAGGCCCATCGTGCTGCATGGCATGCGTGCTGAAGGCATGCGCCAATTCGTCAACTGGTGGATTGCGGGGTGCGTAGACGACCAACAAGCTTCTTCGCGGTCATCTTGCTGACTTTCCAATCTGACAGGGAGCAGGGCCACGTATATCCCTTTTCGCGACTGGCCCATCTTCTCCAGTTTGCGCACCAAGCCGGCGCTCATGACATATACTTCTGGGCGGCGAGCGCACTGGATTGCTATAACATCACCCGTCACCAACCCTGGCATTACAACTTATGGGACGAGCGTGTTTGCCTCAGCCCTTCAGACCCCAGTCGCTCGCTTTGCGCTAATAATCGACTACCCATAACCGGGGAGTACATCAATACCACAGCATTCTTTGCACTCACTTCTTTCGACTCACCCGATGACACTTTCCCCATGGTGTACACCGCTGCAACCCTGCTCTGGGGTGATGGCATGGATCTCGACTCTTTCGATTGGAAACGTCGCATCTCCCGCGCGGAGGCCCTTTGCGTATTGGACATGGCGATATCTGCAGGCATAGATGTTGCGTTCCTCCCAGGCGCGCTTGGAAGCGTGGTCATCAGTGGGAAGTTATCGGTTGATGAGGCGGCTTGGTTGATGAGAAACGAACAAGGGGATGCTACGGATGTAGCTGAAGCCGTGAAGTATGGTGTGGAGGCCATCCTCGCGGATGACTCTAGCAAGATGCTAGGACCCGGAGCGCTCCTAGTTGGCCGTTTGAAGCGCGCCCTTGACTTCTGGGCCTACTGCAGGCGGCATGACGGTGAAGCAATCCACGGTATGATGGACGCTATCATTAGAGTTATGTGGCCTGCCCCGTGAGTACCGACCACTCTTCAGACTCTGAAATTGTCTGACATTGGACTAGGAACGAGACTAGTGAGGGCTGGGAAATGATGTGTGTGCAGCCATGAGCGACATGGCCCGAAGAGGTGTTCAAGTTCGGGCCGGTCATTGAGATGAAGAATTGCTGTATCTGCTCATCATCGTTTTATCTACTCTGCGCTTCTATACGCCGGATATCATTGTCAACTCAGCTGTTAGATCGCGAAAGGTCACTCGAAAACTGGGGAGGCTCATTGGCTTACCTCAAGTGTTATTATACGTGCCTCAGTCAAGTCATGTGGTCGCGTGGTATCCGCATCTCGGCAAACCCCGTTTTCAACCGCAATCTCACACAGCTTGCTTCCTCCCGCCACTGCACAATGCATTCAGCTTTTGTATGGTGACGCCTGACACGGGTCTTACGACATTGACCGAACGAAACTGTTCGCAACGCGCGAATTGGCTTTCCTTTTTCAGTTGCAAACGTGATTGATCTATGGCTTCTCGCTTAGTACCACTTCGTCATAGGCTTATCGTCAGGAGCCGCACCTCAACTGCAGGCATCATGTTTCCAGTACCACCCTCTGAAACCTCGTCCTTTGTAGGCGGGAGCGTATCGTGTGCACCTCTCCGAAGAGGCTGGCGTGCTGGTACATCGCCTGTCTTGGTTCTTTTCGCGAATGTGTACGAGCGCGCGTCAGATCCGTTGATCTCGCCGGAAATGGTATTGACTTCAGATCCATCGGTGGGAGGCACGTCATGCGGGGCCCGTATAAGAGCGCTTCGCGTGAAGACGGGTGGCTCCTTTACGGTGGCTACCTCCGGTACCTACTATGGCGAGTCTATGGGGACTTCAGCGGGTGTCGCGGCTTGCGCTCATCGTTCTTTGTAGGGTGGCCATCTTGTGCGTGATCCCGACTTCTTCATTCCAGATGATCTACATGTCTTCGTGGTGAGCGCCTATCGGTCTTTTAGGCGCCAGGCGAATTGAAACTCACTCAGACGCCTACAGGTTGAAGGGACACTCTTCAGAGTGCATCGATTGCGGCTCTCAGAGCACTCTCAGGTCTTCGCGGACATGTTCTCCGTCCCGCAACCTGACTGCGAGATGCGAGATGGTGCAGACGAAGAACATCCCATCTCCCTGGCGGGCATAACAGCTGCCGATTTCAAGTGCTTTCTCAGGATCGTGTACGAACAGTGAGGGTCACATCGCAACGTAAACTCTATCATGCCAGCTCACAGAGTGCCGAACTAGGCTGCAAGCGGACTCCGATCTTAGCCACGCCGAGTGGTTAGGTGTCCTTTGCGTGGCGCATCGTTTCAATTGCCCCGCCATTCATGCCCGCGCCGCTAGGCAGGTGACCCGTATGCCAGTACGACCTGATCAGGCTGTTCGCCTCCTGGGTTGCGCAGAGGCGCACGGCCTTGACGTGCGGTTCCTCGAACAGACGTTGACAACGGTCATAACACGTCCGGAGCCACTGTCGCCAGACGAGCTCGAATGCATATCTCTGGCGCTCGCAGCGCGCATTGCTCGCGCGCGAGAAAGATGGGCTCGACTGGACAGCCTCCATACAAACTCCCCAACGCCAAGTCAACCCGGACAGCGGATGAATGCCAAATGCGCATACAACTACGATATCTTCGATCCGCCACCGTGCGAGCATTGCGGTGCTCGAACCCATCGTAGCCCAAAGCCGGAGTCAATCATCACAGAAGGATGGGGGGCCAGGTACGTTCGCGCGGTGCCAGTCCTGTGTAGGAAAATGGAAGCTCATCCCCGATGTTTTCCTGTAGGGATAGCAGCCGTATTGGTGCTGCTGTATTCTATTCGCCTTGATAATAAGTATGATACCTGCCACTCGTGTGTTTCGAAGAGGGATTCGTCCATGTGTTTAAACTTCCCGCATCCCAATGGATTCGTGAACTTCCTCACGAGAGGGAGATCCTAATTTTGACCCGACTTTGGCGCCTCCGACAGCCTACTAGCAGGACACCGAGCAGTCCCTGTAGTCGCTTCGCGTCGCCTCAGCTGAGCGTTTCGTTTCCGAGTGGTGCGTCAGCATCCCAAGATGCTATAGGATCTTCGGGGTGTCTGCCTGGGCTGTCACCGCAAGCGAAGCGTGGCGCACCCAGACCTCTATATAAAGGCCACGATTTCTGAGGCAATACAGTATACTCTTTCTCACCCATATCCAGCATGGTAGGGCATCCCTTCCGACCATTTGACAGACTCTCATTGTGGTCTATATACTAGGTACACGCGAACGCCGAGGCTCGCGACACAGAGTTCTACATCACGGATGAACTCTACGTCATACAGGTCGGTCTTCCTATGCACCACTGTGCAGCGTGGTCCTGAAATAGGGCGCAGGTTGAAGGGACGAAGTTCCGCGTGCACAAGAAGCTCTTGAGCGACCAATCGGGGAGATTCGCGGACATGTTCGCGATACCAACACCAGACAATGGGGCTGGTTGCGGCTTATCTGACGCAGATCCTATTATCTTGAACGACGTCGACGTCAAGGACTTCAAAGCTTTCCTGAGTGTCATATACAATAGGTAAAGCATCCTGTACATGCTCTAAAAGCGGCTACGAACTCATCGTCGATCACGTAGCGCTAGACCGAACTTTGCGATGTCGGCTGCTGACTGGCTTCGAGTGCTCTGTGTCGCGCACAGGTATGACTGTGGTGGAATTCACACTCGCGCCCTCGACGGTATCCGCACCTCTCGCCTTCAGCCCGGTCAAGATACGGACGCGCTCGCTTGTGCGGAGCAGCACAATATCGATGTCAGACTCATCGATGACTCCGCCTTGAAGTACGCGATCACTCGCCTCGACGCCCTCTCCGCTACGGAAACGGCGAACTTGACACCAGGGATGGCGTCCAAGCTCTGCGCCGCACGCGAGAAGTGGGCTGTCGACAGCGCTCTACACAAGAACGCCCCGGACTTGGGTTCGGAGACGGCGTCCCAAGGAAAGCCATGTTCGAAGTGCAAGGCCAGGTACTATGCAGCGCCCAACATACAGAGAATCATCGCAACTATTTGGGGCAGAAAGTACGTTTGACCTCGATGTGGGTGTGAACTTGATCCTTACAGTTGGTATCCACAGGGAAAAGGCAGAGGATCTTGCGGGAGTGGCCTTCTTCTCGGAACCGTGAACGAACATTGAGGTTTGGGTAGTATTGTTCATGTTCATGCCATAGACTAGATCTAGAGATAGACCTTTGTTCGTCACCATGCCCATATGGATCCAATATGACCTTGACAACCTTGCGGCATGTCTAGACTCATGAGTGAGTGGTGCCGGTGTGCAGTTGAGTAGATCAACATGGTAGTCAAAGGCAAGACGCGATGGGGGGTCTGGCGCGTTCACTCTCGCGGCGATCGCAGGCACACCAGGTTGGTTTCCGACCACCATCACTATCGCCTCGATGTTTCCTCTACGCGGCTAGACTGTTCCCTGGAATGGGCCTGCGAAACTCTACACGGCGTCTCAGCCAACATCTGATGCGCGTCAGTCGGCAAGCTTTGTTGTCGGCAAAATATCCGAAGCCAGCACTTTCAACGCTTCCACTTGAGGTCAAGTTGTAGCGCAATAGCGGCCACAGACAGAGTTGTTGAGGATACCCCACTGCTATCATCATGGTATGTACTCGTACAATAATCCAAGACTCTGAAGGGGCTGACAATACGTGCTCAGGACGTGCCTAGTAATGGACGCCCAGTGAAGAACTCCAAGCGCGCGCCGCAGTGCGAATGATGCTCAAACCTCCCCGCCGCTACCTGTCTCTTGGCGTCTCTGAGGAAATCGACTTTGGGGTATACTATCTTGGGAACCCTAATCACTAACACCTGTTGTCCATGTACATATCTACTAGCGAAAGCCGCTACGCCATGATATGCATGTTTGAAGAGTGGATCTACTCGCCGCCAACCACATTATGGAAACTCCACATCTGAGCCACTGAGAGTGAAGAGACCAATACTCACACAGTCGACAGTTCAGTACGTACTCTCATAACCAACCAGGTCGCACATTTTCTCTTAGAAGTCCGTTGCACGGCATGGGACGTCCGCTCTCTCACGACTGCGAAGAAGCACGGCGACGATCTTCGAGAACCGAAGCGCACCTCATGTCCATCGTATTGGAGCAGCATCATACCATTTGACAAGTTATGACCTCCTGACGGCCGTATATATAGGATTACGACGAGGTCGAAGACGCTCGGCGTCCCTTCTTTTCACGATGAGGCGCGCTCTTCAACTCGCCGTGTCGGGCAGCTTGGCCTCGGCAGCTATTCTGCAAGATGCGTCGCAGTTGAAGGACTCTTACGACTTCATCATTGTTGGAGGTGCGTCATGGGTATCCTGTACCAGATCTTGTACTGACGTCGCGTATAGGTGGACCTGGTGGTGCCACGACCGCAAACAGGCTCACAGAGAGCGCGGGAGTGAACGTGCTTTTGCTCGAAGCCGGTGGCGCGTGAGTTAGAAGTCCCGATATTCCTCCAGCGCACTTGCTCAACATCACGGTCAGCAATGATGGAGTACTCAACATCGACGTACCGCAGCTCTGCGTCACCCTCACACCGAGCACCCCATGGGACTGGAACTATACCACAACCCCACAGACGAACTTGGGCGGCCGTGTAGTCCCCTTTCCGCGAGGCATCGGACTTGGAGGAACCAGCGCCGTCAGTGCGTATAACCGTGGTGTCAGCTTTCTGTGCTTCTATACTAACCATGCATAGATTGCCTGGTATACACTCGCGGGACCAAATCCGACATCGATACTTGGGCCGCGCTGAGCGGCGATGAGAGCTGGGGTTGGGATGGCATGTTGGACTCGTTCAAGAAGGTGCGTTGCTTGCTTTTCATACACTGCAACCTTGGCTGACGACGTTTCGCATAGAGTGAGAAGTTCAACCTGCCAGTCGATGGTCACGACGTTTCTGGCCAGTACATCCCCGAAGTCCACGGCTTCGATGGCGTGATCGGGGTCAGCGTACCAGGAGCTGCGCGTGCAACGGACGAGCGTGTCATCGCTGTAACGCAGGAGCTCGACGAGTTCCCCTTCCAGCAAGACATGAACTCCGGCGAGCACTTGGGAGTAGGTTGGACGCAGGCGCTCATTGACCGTGGCGTCCGGTCGAGCGCAAAGGCATATCTTGCGGAAAACTACTTAGCTCGCTCGAACCTCGATGTCCTGCTGAATGCACACGTCGCGCGCGTCGTCCAGACGAATGACTCTGACGCACTCACCCTACGCACCGTTGAGTTCCAGCTCAACGGCACCACGACCAACTTGTCTGCCAGCAAGGAGGTCATCCTATCAGCTGGTGCTGTCGGTACCCCTGTCATCCTGATGCACTCGGGTATCGGCGACTCGGCAGTCCTTGGCCCGCTTGGTATCGACGTTCTTCTCGACAACCCTTCGGTAAGCCTATACTCGAGTTTGCAGCATCCGTTTACTCATCTAGTCTAGGTCGGCGCAAACCTCACAGACCACATCGGTGTAAGTACCCCGGCTCACCTCTCCGCTTATACACCCGTCTCATACCTGCGAACAGTGCAGTATCACATATGTGACCAACTCTACCAAGACGCTCGACCCTCTCTGGAGGAATGAGACGTACTATAACGAGCTGCTCGCCGAGTGGGAATTGAACAAGACCGGCATTCTCGTTGACACATCTGAGAACCAGGTCGCTTGGTTGCGTCTGGCCGGGGACGATCCGATCTGGGAGAACGCAACGGACCCCGCCAGTGGCCCTACGACTGCGCACTTTGAGTTCCTCTTCCAGGTGCGTTTGTTTAAAGTCTCTCGTGAATGAGTAAGCTCATAGGAGGTGCTAGAACGGCGTGTATCCGACTCATGACACGGGCAACTACTTCAACCTTCCCGTCGGCTGCGTCTCGCCCTCATCGCGCGGTTCCGTCAGCATCAACTCTTCTGATCCATTCGCGGACCCTCTCATCGACCCTAATTTGCTCTCCAATGGCCTTGATCTCTACATCGTGCGCCAAGGTATCAAGGCCGGCATGCGCTACCTGAGTGCACCAGCCTTCGACGACTACTTTATCGGCACGCTGCAGAACTTCACCAGCGACGACGACATCGACGCTTATGTCCGTCAGAACGCTGTCAGCTTCTTCCATCCTGTTGCTACGGCTGCCATGAGCCCTGCAAATGCGTCTTGGGGCGTGGTTGACCCGCAGCTGCTGGTTAAGGGCGTGCAGGGCCTTCGCATCGTTGACGCAAGCGTCATTGTGAGTTTAACTCTCTATACGTCACATTTGTGCTCTTCTGATCGATCTTCTCATCTCATAGCCGCGTCTCCCGGCGGCCCACACGTCTGCTGCCACTTACGGCGTCGCCGAGAAGGCAGCGGACATCATCAAGGCGGCCTATCCTGATCTGTTCGCATAGGATGTTACTTGCACGAGCTGAAGTATGAATTGAAGTTCTGGGATATCTGTAGTTATCTTTGTTATCTTTTCATCTTTTGATGCATACCATTCTACGTCATACTCAAGAGCTTCATATCGGACCCTGCCATAAAATATGAGGCGCCATTCGAACGAGCACGGGGAGTATAACAACGATCTAGGTCTCAGATCTGCTCGTATATGTAATATGCGAGAAAAGAAACGAGATTGAAACGTCTGGTTGGAGGAGATGTGCTTGTTGCCTGTTCATGGAGTCGCCGACGGCGGTGTCGGATGCTTACTGTTCTAGCGCCTTATGTAGCTTAGATTAATCAGGGACAACCTCTATCTAGCTCCCTTATCTATACTCTACATCATCTTGCATAAGAATGACGGCAACGAATATGCCCTCTCGTACTCGCCGACAGACGCCGCTGTCAATCGTGTTATCGACACGCGGCGCGTGGCCTCAGTCAGCATCCCATGTGACCGCGTCGCGGCACAAAATAAAACGCAGATTTTCGTCGATCGAGTCTTCTGGCTTAACCGCCCACCTCGTCCAAGGGTCTTCGTTCGCACTATCTGTACATCTGCTGCTTTACTTGCTTTGAATCATCATGTCTTCTTCCACGACCCAAGTCAATGGCAACGCCCCGTCTTCCGGCCTTTTATCTCCTGAATCTGCTCTTGAAGTTCTCCAGACCCACTACAAAACCCGCGATGGTCTCGCCGTTCAGCAGCTCATGGACAGCACGATCCACGGAGGCCTCACCTACAATGACTTCTTGTTGCTCCCCGGAAAGATCGACTTCCCCGCGCACGTCGTCTCTACCGAAAGCCGGATCACGCGCAATGTTGTTCTCAAGACGCCGTTCATGAGCAGCCCCATGGACACCGTCACCGAGACGAACATGGCCATTGCAATGGCGGTGCGTGTCGTCGGGTTGGTCAGTGCCCAAGCACACGTGCTGAAGCGCGCGAATAGCTCCTCGGTGGTATTGGTGTGATCCACCATAACCAGTCGCCCGAGTCACAGGCGGCCATGGTTCGTGCCGTCAAGCGCCACGAGAACGGTTTCATCTCCGACCCTGTTTGCCTCGGCCCGGACGCTCTTGTCGACGACGTCCTCGACATCAAGGCGCGCTTGGGCTTCTGCGGCATCCCTGTCACTGGTGAGTCTATCTCCTCGTGTTGGATGTGCGTTTTGCGCGTGTCGATGCCTGTTCTTCTGCCTATGTGCCTTTGCCTTCTGCTGGGACTGCGGAATATACATGCGGCTATGCGTACGAGATCCGCCGGACTGTCGTTCGAGCTATGGACCATGCGTGCTTATCGCACGGCGCCTCAATGTGATGATTATCATTCAACCTTCGTTCTACCGTACCAACGCGCTTTGTGTGTGTGATTTGGGGAGAATCTACTTCGAATATATCTGATCTGCTCACTGTCCCTCACTCTGCCTTGACTGCTCGCTAATGACACCTTTCAGATACCGGCGCGCTCGGGGGAAAGCTTCTGGGCATAGTGACTGCTCGCGACATTCAGTTCGCTGCCCATGATGTTCGCCTGCGCGAAGTCATGACTCCCGTCGAGGCGATGACTGTCCTCAACGCGGAGTCGCTGTCCGGATCGTCCGAAGGCGCCAAGCTCGCTGCTGCAAACGAACTTCTTCGCACCTCGAAGGTTGGCAAGCTTCCCATCGTCGACGGAGAGGGCCGTCTCCGCTCCCTTGTTGCGCGCTCCGACTTGCTCAAGAACCAGACTTATCCTCTGGCAAGCAAGACGGAGAAGAAGCAGCTTTACGCTGCTGCTGCCATCGGCACCCGGGAGCACGACAAGGCGCGCCTGGCGCTTCTTGTCGAAGCCGGCCTCGACATCGTCATTCTCGACTCGTCGCAGGGCAACTCCGTCTTCCAGATCGAGATGATCAAGCACATCAAGTCGACATACCCGCATGTCGAGGTCATTGCCGGCAATGTTGTCACCCGCGAGCAGGCTGCAAGCCTTATCGCGGCGGGTGCGGATGGCTTGCGTATTGGCATGGGTTCCGGCTCGATCTGTATCACTCAGGAGGTCATGGCCGTTGGCCGTCCGCAGGCAACTGCCGTCTATGCTGTCGCAGAGTTCGCCAGCCGCTTCGGCGTACCCGTTATCGCCGACGGCGGTATCAGCAACGTCGGCCACATCGTGAAGGCACTCGCTCTGGGCGCAGGCGCGGTCATGATGGGCGGTCTCCTCGCGGGTACGACTGAGGCGCCGGGAGAGTACTTCTACCACGAGGGCAAGCGTGTCAAGGCGTACCGTGGCATGGGTTCGTTGGAGGCGATGGAGCAGGGCAAGCCCGGCAAGCCCGTCGACAATAAGGCGACGACGGGCAAGGGCAAGTACGCCGTGTCGAAAAGCACTTCGCAGGCAGACGCACACGTCGTTGAGAACGCCGCGACTGCGCGCTACTTCAGCGAGGCGTCGGCCGTCAAGGTCGCGCAGGGTGTATCGGGCGATGTGCAGGACAAGGGTTCCGTGAAGGACTTCTTGCCGTACCTCTACGCTGGTGTGCAGCACTCCTTCCAGGATATTGGTGTCCAGGGTGTGGAGGCCCTTCGGGCGGGCGTCAAAGCGGGCGAGGTCCGCTTCGAGCTCCGTACCGCGAGCGCGCAGGTCGAGGGTGGTGTCCACGGCCTTAACTCTTACACCAAACGTCTCTTTGCTGCTGTCTGAATGTATCTATAGCTCTCGTGTATCTTTAGTGTTCTTGGGTATAGCTATCATGTCTGTATGGAGATAATTGTTCGCACACAGACATGCCAGGGTCCATTATGGGCGCTAATCTTAAGCAGCACGTGGTTGACTCAGACGCACGTTGTCATGTCGACCAGTCAACAAGAGCCTCATGCCATCATGGCGCGGTGTGGTTCGTCTTGAACCTGAACGGCCATCACCTCGACCAGCTCGCTTTCTTCTCCGGCGCTCCGAACGATCTGTATCACTCTACCTATCCTGATAGCTCAGACTCACGACACTTTAACGAACCCTACATCTCCGTCAACGTGACTCAAATTCTCCCTGGCATGTCTTCTCGACGCAAGAAGAGTAGATCGCGAAGCCGAATCCGAGGTCCGTCTTCTATGTCGCATCTGGACTAGTCAGCCTCCTTAAGATGTCACTGTGAAGCTAGCAATGGAGACGCACCCTCCCACTTTACATGGGAAGAGGTTAGGGCCGAAACACTCCGCCTAGTCGTTCGCGACCTGGGCATCAGCACGAAGGCAGCACCGAAAACAAGAGATGGCGTCATAGTCTTTATACAATCGGTTCAGGCGAATGGCTGTGCGTGAATTAATTATGCTCAATGCTGTACAGATGAACTGAATATATGGTATCCAGTATCAGTGGCTCAGGCGCAACTTGACGATGGCGCCTCAGTGACCTCTTCAGCGGCCGGCTCTGGATTTCCATTTCCTTGGGAAAAGCTCACGCCGACTGTCCTTCGTGCTGTGATGCGCGACATAGGCGCTCCTACTAGTATCACCATGAAGGATCGCGGTGATCTGATAGACTACATTCAAGCAGCAGAGAGTACCGGCTGTAAGTTGTGTCTCGTGACAATCATTTTTCGAAGCTGACGTCTACCCTTTCCAGTCTCTTCTACTGCAGGGGACGTTGAGATGGCAAGCCAGAGCTCAGCCGCGCCTTCCCGTGCTTCTCGCAAACGCCCGGCCACTCCCGAGATTGAAGCAACGTTCACACCAGCCCCGACTCCGAAGCGAGGACGTAAATTGGATCGGAAGGCGTCAGGGTCAAGCTCGCATGCCGGCAACACAGCGGACGACAAGCCCAAGATGAAGTCGCATAAGCCTCGTGGACGAACCCGGTCTTTGTCTCGCAGCGGCTCAAATGTCGTTGAAGTCGACCTCTCCCTTGAAGACGTCGAAGAGTTGCTCGCGCGGGAGCCTCCTTCAGCTTATCTGGACATAGTGTCTCTGCAACCTCGCAAACTCGACGATGGCGCAGTCTATCAGCTACTCTCGAAAAACATTCACCGTGTACGGCGCATATCTTGCGTGGACATGAGTGCTGTCATATCGGACGTACTTGAGAACTACGTCGCGCCTGTGCTCGAGGAGTTGAGGATGTCCGGCGAAGACGTCTTTCCTCTCAGCGCGTTCTCGCCCGAGGCCCCTCGTCTCTCGCGACTATACCTGCCCACGGTCGACCGGCTGGTTCTCCCAACCGAGTTGTGGGCGAACGTCACAGTTTTCTCTGTGCAACACGTACAAAGCGAACCTACGCCGAAAGGCATATTACGTGTCATCAACGCATTGGCTCCCAGCATCGAGATTCTCCGCATACCGTGCGGTCTCACTCTGAGGGAACCCTTGCCAGCGCCTCCCTCCATCGCACTGAACCACCTGGAAGACCTCGCATTGTCCGGACCGGCGCACTACTGCGCATTTGTTTTGAAGGCTCTCGAGTTCGGCCCCTTCGTGACCGTGTTATTCGATGCGTCTTACCATGAAGACTACTCGCCACACGTCCTCGACCTGGACCGACGTATAGGTCTCGTCAACCTCATCTGGGGCAATACCATCTCTGCGGCGCCCACGCGAACGCTCGCAGTCTCCTACACGGCACCCGAATCCATCGACGGTGATTCTACCGCCCAGTTGAGCGTACACGGTTGGCAATACGAGACCGTCGTTGACGGTGTACCGGACTTTCGAATCTCCCAGGAGCACCCAGCCAATGTGCGCGCTGACGTAACCGGTGTCTACGACCTCGGATACGAACGTGTCCCACAATACGCCGTCTACAACCTATTGCTGCCTGTCCTCGCCCTCGAGACCGCATGTCTCCTTTCACTACGCCTCGAACCGCATGTCAAGAACTTCGGGCAGCTTCAAGACGACGGGCCGCATCCAGGCTCGGCGTGCTGGGATGCCGACCTTTGGTCCGTCCCCTTCAGCCAAGCAAGACAGCTATCTCACCTCCGCGTCATCGCACCGGGGGCGGCTTCAACGGCTGTAGAGCTTATCGACGCTCTCGCGGACAACTCAGAGGAGCCGACCACTAGGCGTCCGCCATTCACATTCCTGTTGCCGGCGCTCCGCACCTTGACACTAGCTCATGTTCCAGCTACCAGCATGTCGCTGAGTGTGGAAAGCGCTCGGACGGCGGTGCAAGCCGTTCGCGAACTCATCGAGGTCAGGGCGCGCGAGGGTGTATCTATACGCGTCTATATCACTCCCGTCAATCCAGAAGATCGTACGCGGTGGGATACTGGGCTTGCCACCGTCTCCGACTTCGTGAAACTCGGTTAGGCCACGGGATGCATTAATCACGACAGTTCACGACCTTCCCCAACATCATCGCTATCGGTTTGCTGCTATTTCTTGCTTCTCGATGTGCTCCTCCATTGTCGACCGTGTACCCACTATCTTTGCTCTTCCGCTGCTATGTCAGACGATGTCTGTGTACTTCGATGACCTGATTTAAAACGTGTATCGATTATCGTACAAACTACCCACGAGCCAGGGCCGCACTTGACATCCCAGGCGTCTTTGATACCTCTTCTATAACTGCAATTCCTCTATATATACATCTTGAAATACTATGACTGGCCCTTTATTGACTCGGAAAGACTGTCACGTCTTGCGATGCCGACGGAGTGGGTGATTTACATCGATAGGTACCACTCAACTGGTGCATATGAACATCGAAAACGTCACTTCTTGTTAACGCCTGTGAGGTTGCGAGGTTTACCCGAGACTGGGTTGACAAGCTACGCCTCCCGAAGCCGGCTGTTCCGAGTCTGAGGGGCCTGAGAAGTAAACCGTCGAGAGGTTGAAGTCGTTGGTCGGTATGTAAGAGCGCTGAGTGTGCACAAGAACTACTATGAGCGCCGGGTATATCCCGAGGATATGGCTTGTCATGAAGGCCCAGACGGTGTATGCGAACGCAAGTTGAGGTGTGCTGGTTTCTCGGGAAGTCAGGTCGCCGGAGTCGCTCACAACTGCAGAAAGCTTGCTCCAAAATCGTGTCAGAAGACCGTCTACACAACGAGAGTGTCAACTCACGAAGAATAGGAAGTACAAGAAACCCGACTCGACGAGTATGATCATAGTCTTCTCGATCCTTGTCCTAGATGACGAGGATGAGCGTAAGTACGAGCCAACCTCTTTCCTATATAACCTAGGCGATGGATCAGTCACTGTTGAAAGCCCTGCAAGGCTGGACTACGCCACTCACCAAGTCTTGTAACCGATCATCAGAGTGACGATCGTCGTTGTGACGAGAGCAGTGATATATGAGGCGAGCTGCGAGTGCTTGCAGAAGGGAGGATTGAGCAGATCACCGATAGGAATGAGCGGATCATCGTCGAGTTGCGCTACGCAGTATGCAAGAAGAACAGAAGTGACTGGTAGTGTTCGTCATCAGAGACTTGCTGTGTATGATAGAGTCGAGTATGATGAGACGCACCAATTGAACCCAACAGAGACGCGAGAGGTAACATCAAAGCCCATCTCTCGCCTGCTCCGCCCCAGAATACACAAGCACGCCAGACTACAGAAAAAAGACCCGGTCAGACACTGAGCAGAAGATATTACTCCATGTGCGTACTGATGATGACATCGCCTAAGTTCGACTGCCGCACAGGAATTAACTTTGAGAGTGGGATGACGATAAGGTCCTGTGGACCCACCATGAATGCATATGCGACGCTTTCCACCGGCCAAGGTAAAACCATTTGGTTATACCGATCAGTGAGCGACTTGTCGGAGTCGGATAGAAGTGTGCTCGTTATTTCGCGAATTGCATTGTTCACGTCAATGACGACGAATATAGTGTCCAGCATCAACATCACCAAGATGATGCTGAACGCTACAATGGACTTCCAGTTCCCTTTTCGTCGCCTGTCCACTACTCAGTTTGATACGGCAATGTACACGAGTATCGGCGTACAAGAGTATCCTTCCCGCAACCAGAACAAGGACAGCGTATACCGCTAATAGTGACAGTTGATGAGCGTTCAATTCTCGTCGTTGAAAAGTAGACGCACTGTATAGGACCGCTTCAACGAAGAGCGCGACGACGCTCTGAATTAGATCGACGCCTATATTGTGCAAGGTTGCCGCGTCCTCCGGCGATAAGGACGACATGCTGATGGACGCATGCGGGGAAGGGAAACCGCAACAACGCAAGCATACACACATGTTTATAAGTACGCCCTGGAACGAGCAGCGCCCATCTCCGCGGTGCTGTCATGGCGAGATGCTATTTGAGTCCCCCTGGCCGGGCACATTCATTATAGCCATATTGGGACGGCCATCTCTCGCTAAAGGAAGAAGATCAATCCGGCCAAGGAAAGAACGGATGTTCTGCTGTACAAGGCGTCTAGACTCGATGCTTCGATTTCACACAGGCTTCTGCGTACATGTCCAGTCCTCAGTATTCAGCCATGGGGGGCTTCTGGTGGCTATTGGTGGCAGTCCCGATGGCGCGGAGTACTCCCTGCTAGTCACTTTCAACATGGGGGGATGGCCGTCTTCGACAAGTTCTGTAAGACAGTTGTGGGAAGCTTCGTCAGTCTTAGGATCAGGCGCAGCCCACAAGTCGCCCTGTAACTCACCAGGGCATGGACGGGGATCTGTAATTGAGTCGGTCCTTGTCAACGCAGCGCTGATAAGCAACTCGACCTTGCTGCACAGTGATGTGTCAGGGCGTGCGATTAGCATACGTATAGTGATCCGTCCTCCGAGCTATATTAGACTTGAGTGGTAACTTCACGGATCCCTGAGCAGTGAATATATTGAGGAACCAAGCTACAGACAATCTTCGGGGATACAGAATCGTACTTGCATCCAAGAACGTTTGGCTGGTAATGCCGGCGCGGGCCCCGCTCCCAACAGGGTCCGACAGTCCAGCCTGAGCCGCATGCTTGCTGTAGAGTTATCAACGCCACAAGCGCCGTCAGTGTACAAGAATTTGACTTCGACTGCGAAACGGAGCTATGTTAAAGTCGATGCTGGTCGCCATGCAGGTGTGGGGAGAAGAGAAGACGACGTTGCTGCGAAGAGCGCGCTCAACCGGACCGGAACTACCGCTTTGTACTTGTAGGTGGCTGTAGGTGGCTATGGGTGGTAGCTGCACGATCACACGCTTCGCGTCGCGACGCGTCCAAACGAGGACGCTGCTTGTCTTCGGCCACCACCTCTATGCGTTCACTGGTACACTTACCCGTCCTCCTTCTTGATCTTATAACGTCATGGCTTGAGCGTGAACCAATACACGAACTATCCGACTCCCGGGCGGAACTCAGCTTCCAGTTGCGACACTTACACGCATTGACACCCTCCGGCAATATCGTGTTACAAGACGTGCTGCCAACTGCTGCGGGCTTTCAGGAGGCATTGAAAGTCCGGACGCGGACTCTGCATACCGTTAAACCAGCATCCTTTGACGCATATCAATCTGCAAGGCGGGCCTTGCGCGATCGTGCCCGCATAGCTGATATTGGATGGCTTGAAGATGAAGTACAAGGGCCAGACGTGGAGAGCCGCGAGACTCTACGAACGCTAGCTATGATGACTTCCAATGCATATTATGAGCCAGGAGAGAAAGGATGGTACGACTTGGGAGCAGGTTGGAACTCAGTATGTGGCAATAAATCATCCTTATGTCACCCAGTACTGACACTAGGACAGAGTTACCCTGTTGGATGGGAGCCTTCGGAGGACGGATTCCGCGGACATATCTTCTCGAACTCAGACAATTCTACTGTTGTGCTTTCAATCAAGGGTACATCAATACCCATAGTTGGAGGCGGGCCTACAATGAAGAAGGACAAGCTCAATGACAACCTCCTGTTCAGCTGTTGCTGTGCGCGGGTAGATTGGTCATGGTCTACGGTTTGCGGCTGCTACAGAGGGCAGCAACGATGCGACCAAACATGCTTGGAGGATGCTCTCACCGACGAGAGCCTCTTCTACCCTGTCGGCACAAATCTCTACAACAACCTCACCTACATGTATCCCGACGCTAATATATGGGGTACGTATGGTGTTCCAATGCAAGAACACAATACTGACTTCTTCCGATAGTCATAGGACATAGCTTAGGTGGATCACTGGCATCGTTGCTCGGCTCAACTTTTGGCGTTCCGGTCGTCGCCTTTGAGGCACCGGGTGAACGCATGGCTGCACGTCGACTGCATTTGCCAACCCCCGTATGTTCGTCATACAGCATCTGTTCCCTGTTCCTCATCAGATCATAGCCTTCCCTGAGCCACATCACACACGTATACAATACGGGCGATCCTATCGCTATGGGCGTGTGCACTGGCTCTACGTCTGCATGTGGGGCCGCCGGTTACGCTCTCGAGAGTCGGTCAGTGGCCATATTCGACGTTTGCTGGTGCTTCTACGTACTAATGCTTACAATCAGATGCCACCTTGGCCAGACGCTCCTCTACGATACAGTCGCGAACTTGTCGTGGTCGGTAGGCGTCACGCATCACAGCATCAACGCCGTGGTAGACACTATCTTGGCGGAGCCTTGGCTCCCGGCAGTTGGGCTTGGCCGCGAAGTCCCCGTGCCCATCTCAGAGGAGGGTTGTGTTGTACGCCCATCTATCTGTTTGTATCTGCACTCGACTGACACGCTTCCAGGACTGTTTTGATTGGGAGTATGGGGACTTCCCGCAGGTCGGCTTGACCAATGGTCAATGTGCATTCGCTCCGGCGGCGTGATGAACGTTTATCCGGACGATATAGAACGCTTATAGATAGTAGGATCGTCCTTGCCTAATGAGATTGTCATCGACGTTGCGTGTCTTATCGAGCTGGTACGGTACGAAAGCAATGATAATGAGGTAACAGTTGTACGAGATAGTGAGTGTAAGTCCGTGGTGAAAGCAATGAGGCGGTTTGATCAGAGCCAAGAGAATAGGATGTATGTACAGGTATGCACATAAACTGGAGCCCAAACAGTGTAGATTACATAAACGTGATTATACGACATGTTACAATTGAGACCAGCAATCTGTCCAACGCGTGCCATGTGCGAATTGACTGAGATCGAGCAACGTAGGCGCCTCTCCTAATAGGCCTGTCGTCCGTGGTGTCCAGAGACCAACGCGGAGCTCTGGCGGAACCCAGAGAAGCAAGGCGTCATCTGGGCCTACGATCCATCCATCCTCCGCGAGTTTGACCATGTCGCGCCTGTCAGAAGTGTCCGTGTTTGATGGGAAGAGAAGGTCAGGATGCGCAAGAGCGTGTTCGGAGTCCGAGGAGAATGATACGGAAGCGGAGGGTGATAGTGGGTAATCGTCGCATAGGCTGAAGCCAGGTAACTTGCGCGCGACCAGTGTTGTATCCCACAGGCGCACAGTTTGATCATAACTATCGCATGTCAGCTTATGTTGTGATCATAGCGGATATGCAGACGTACCTCGCTGTAGCGACCGTGTACCCTTTGGGGTCAAACGCCAGAGAGAACACCGTGCTTGTATGGCCATGAAGCCACTGGCCTGGGGTGTGATTCGCGCTGCGACGGTCGATGGCAGTCATCCGCACCATCTGGTCCCACGAACTTGATACAACACGCTCCCCATCAGGAGACAGCGCTACGGACAGGATTCCCAGTGCATGGGCGGATATGGGTTTCCCAACGATTTGCCGCGTCTCAACGTCCCAGACGATGATCGTGCCATCTGCATGGCCAGCGACGAGCATGCTGCCGTCCGATAGGATCGACAGCGAGTGGATGGGGCTCTCCGGCCCCTTCAGCGGCTCGCCAACGGAATTGCCCGAATCAATATTCCATAGCCGGATCGTACAGTCATGACCGGCGGATGCGATGAGTTGCGCACCATGCGCAACTCTCACGGTCGTCAGAGGCTTGTTATGCCCGCGGAGTGGTGGTCTGGCAGGTTTCCCGCTCGCGACTTCCCAAATGCGGACAGTGGCGTCGTCCGAGGCCGATATAAGCCGAGACGATGTAGCATCAAAAGCTACCGCATTGACTGAGCCAGTGTGACCCCTCATCACCTTGGACATCGAAGAAGAGCCCTCGACAGAGAAGATCCGGACAGTCGTATCGTAGGAACCCGAGGCGACTACTCGCCCATTGGGAGAGTACGCGACGCTCATGACTGTCTTTGTGTTCCTTCAAGTGATAGTCAGTAACGAGCACTGAAATCACAACCATGCAATGTTCACCCTCTACGTGGTGCTCCAATAGTCTTGCCGGAGTGAACGTCCCAGATGCGTAGAGTCTCGTCGTGCGATCCTGTCAGGATGCGTTCGCCATCCGGAGACCAAGCTACAGCATTGATCGAGGCCGAATGCGCGCTGGTAGCCGTGGCAGAAGGCTTGGCGGTCGGGTCGGGCATGTTCCAAAGGCGGATAGTGTGATCTGCAGATGCGGTAGCAATGCGAGAACCATCGCGGAAGAACGCTATGCTCGTAACAGAGCGCTATAGCAAGGAGACGATGATTAGTCGCAGAGCTGGCAATGGGGACACAGAGGCGTACTTCATGTTCACGCATGGGCTTTCCTATCGAACAGCAAGTCAAGGCGTCGGCAACACTGAAAGCTTCATGGAAAGAGTTGAAAGCGATGTATCTGCTGTCGGGAGAGAACGCCACTGTATACGCTTCGCTGTACACAAAGTCGACGATCGAGCGCGAAGGTCTGTATATCGCGAGGTGTTAGCTTTCCAGATACAGGATGTACAGCCGATAGGAGCTCACGAGCCGACGCAAGCCCAACGCGCAGTGTCCCAAAGATACACCTTGTCGTCATATGCACCCGTAGCCATTTGCAGCCCGTCGGGAGACATCGCAATAGATGAGATCGGCATCGTATGAGCGTGCAGAGGCTCGCGCATTGGGCGGCCATTCGAGCTCAGATGGAAGGCGACGGTGCAGTCGTAGCTCCCCGAGACCAAGAACGAACTGTCGGCAGAAAAGGCGATACAAGACACGGCCATCGTATGCGCGTGGATGGGCTCGTATATGCGTTTGCGATCTGCGACGTCCCAGACGACTATCGCCTCGTCGTAGCCGCCGGAGGCAAGTAGGCGGCCATCTGGAGAGAATGCAATACAGAGTACGGCGCCGATATGGCCGGCAAGCGGCTCGCCAACTGGTTCGCACGTAGTCGTATCAATCAGGCATACGGTGCCGTCGCTGCCGGCGGACGCAATGAGATGCCCGTTCGGCGAGAAGAGCACTTGATTGACCGGCAATCCACCATGCGCGACTATAGGTCCAGTCACGAGAGTACCAGTGGCAACGTCCCAGTATCGTATCGTCCCGTCATCGCTGCAAGACGCAATGTGCGCGCAGTTGGGCGATACTGCGACGCTCAGAACTGCCCCTTCGTGACTCAGCACGCTATGCACTAGAGGCCATTCGGGGGAGCGCTTAGAGGCCACGCGTGCTGCGCAGCTGAGGCGTGGGAGGTAGAGAGCGGCGATGTCGGACTTTTCCGGTAGGAAAGGTAGGGAGAGGTAGATGTGAGGCGCGGAGCGGGCGATGACGGCGCCGTACTTGGGAAGATACAGTTGCAGATCTGTTGCTATCGCGCTGATAGGGTCCACCTCTCCGGGATGTGCATCCTAAGAGGCTTTAGCGCCTGGCTCCTGATACATCCCAAGGAGACGGAAACACACCTGTGCCCAGAGTAACAGTGACGCGATGACAGCTGGTAGATCCCTCACAGCGTCCAGAAGGCTCATGACTTCCAGCCAAAAGAGGAGTCTGGCGCTGAGGAACTCCAGCACAGTATCATACACGAGGGTTTCCGGCGATGTATCTTGAAGATGATTGGCCCAATACAAGCAAGCATAAGATAACGAGGCGGGGATGTTGCGCTCGATGAGAGTAAGCAGACCGCCGACGCGGCTATTCGGAAGGTATGAGGTGGACAGCCCGCATATGTTAAAGCGGAGCTGCTGCTTCATGAGTGATAGACAAGCGAGAACGAAATCCCTATCAGCAGAGCTCAAGTCGACATAGAAGCGCCCAGAACGCTCGGATGAGACGAGGAAGTCGGCGAACGATGCGTGTAGCGTCTTAACCGGAGTAGTCCGGCCCGAGACTCCGCTCAGTAGTGATCCCATGAACTTGACGATCGTCATCGGGTCGAAAGGTTTGGGCAGGTCCGCGCGGTGCGGTGAGGAGGGCGGTAGATGGGGCAGAAGCGCTGACATGGAGTCGACGGAGAGTGGTGTGACCGCGGTGAGGATGAGGGTCATGGTCAGCCTGAAACGCGCAAGCGCGGCAGCGTTGGCACTCGGTAAGAACAGTTGCTCGAGGACTTCTCGATAGAGGGAGTCGAGCGGACCTTCATCTCCAATGGAGCCTGAGTTCTTAACGGTGTCGTAGCGCTCGTCCCAGGAAGAGCCGGGTTGGTCCTCGACGATGTATTCCGCGGCGACGTATGCCCATTGGAATATGAGCTCGGACTTCGCTACCAGGAGATCGACGTCAACGTCGAGTCCGTCCAGGCGTTGTGAGAGAAACGCGCGGATGTCGCGCGCGGTGTCGGAACGCGGGATGTCGCCCATGCGCCTGATCTCTGCGTATGGGCTTTTGGCGAAGCTCATCTCGATGTCCGCTTCAGCACGGGATACCACGATGAAGCGGAAGTTGGGAGGGAGATCCTTGAGTCGAGATGATAGGATGTCCAACAACACCCTGCGAGATTTGGTGTCGCCGCATTCGTCCAGGGCGTCGATGACGAACACGACGGGACCTGGCATGGTGAACTTCGCGCTCGGCTTGACGATGAAGTTCTCGAATTGAGCCAATACGTTCTGTGCGACGAGTATGAAGATCCTGATACAGTAGAGTGAGGTATCGGCGTACCCCGGTAGTGCGCAACGCACGGTCTTTCCGAATAATCTCGGCCAGTTCCTGTCGATATTCCGGATCCAGGTCGGCCAGATCGCGCGCAAAGGTAGAGAACAGCCCTTGTGGCTCATGACCCGCTTGACCGCGCGTGAAAAAGAACGACGAGCCCAGGCGTTGCAAGAACGAAAAGCGTGCCGCGATGGTATGAGCGATGGCGCTCTTCCCGGTCCCAGCGCCGCCTGTCAGCCAAAGTACGCGGCTGGAATCGGAGTGAACCCAGTAAGTGATGGCTTCTAGGACCTCTTCTCGTGTTCCGGACAGGCAGCCTTTCTCGGAGTCGAAGCGCACGCCACGCACGTATGACATGTCGTCCAAGTTGTACTCCTCGTCTGGTAACAATGATGAACCTCAAACGATGACGCGTTCGTGAGAGCCCACGGTACTCACCGAGATCGCTGACTTTTTCCATGATTCGCGCGACAGTAACGTGCGTGCTAGTAGCGATGCGACCGTAGAACTCGTTCCGGAGCTGCTCCAAATTCATCTCGAACTCGCTGATTTGATCATCGACAGTCGATGTCACATTCTTGAGGGCTCGCCGTACTACGCCACGTATTCATCAGTTGCGCGCTACAGACAACGATATGAACGACGTCTCACGAAACCCGTCCGTTTTGTAAAACTCAATGATAAAGTAATGACACTCCAGCGTCTGATGTGTGATCCTCGAAAGAATGTCGCTGCGTTCTTTGAGTGCATCAACCGTCTCGTGCGAGAGATCCTCGACGATGTCGTAGAACGAGAAGAGCGTCTCGAACAGCCTGTCTATGGCTTTGTCCCGGTCCAGCTGCGCAGTCATGATCTGAAAGAGGATGAGGATGCTGTTGTGATCTCACACTTGACCCAATCGGAGACGAAGACTGACCTTCGGGATTGTGGCTATCACTCCCCATGCTATACGCGTATAGGGGTGAACCTGCAAACCCACTTTCAGTACGTAGTGAATGGAGTGAGGATGTAAGACCTACCGCTGCGATTTCGTCGACGATATCAACAAAGACTTTGAACCGCTCGAGGAACTGCATGCACGCTTCCCCGCTCGTGACGAGCGTCTTGGCCGTATCGGCCACAGATGCCACCACAGTATGCGCACGATCGACCTTCTCGAGCCCCGGGCTGGACACCTTGCTCTCGCTGGGTCGAGAGCGCTGGCGGAGTGCATCTCGAATGTTGTTGTTGGCGTCTTCGATCTGCAGATGGAACTCGAGCGTCGAGAGGCTACCCTCCAAGGTCTTAGATACTTTCGTCGGTCTACCTATGTGAATGATCAGCGGATAAGCGCAGTGAGCGAGGTTATGAGGACAAACCTGTTTCGGACCATAGATCGTACAGGTGTTGAACATCGATTTGCAATGACCCCGCGTTCTTGTTGCTACCGAGAAGACGCGCACGATTGAGCTCGAAGCCCAAACATCCGGACTTCGGCGTATGGCTGCCCGCAGAATCAGTATACTAGTGGCGATTTGCAGTGATGCGTAGATGCATACAAAGCGAGTTCCGTAGGCCACTTTGCTTCGCCTTTGGCTTTGGTCGAAGCGGTTTTCTGTCTCGCTGCGCCCGCGGAAACTTCAAGAAAGTACTTCCCGTCGCCAGCCGTGAGCTTGGACACAGATAAGTCTGCACAATCACCATACGTCAGACATGGCAGTTCCTTTGATAGACAGGCATGTAAACAACCCACCATTCAATCTGATCGTCAGGTCGCCATCTTTGACCGGACCGGAAGTGCTAGGTCGAGCAGAACCAAAGCCGTTGTGTCCGCTCCCCGCGGTTGTTGGTCGCCGGGGCGCCATGGCGGACGATCAGCGAGTGCGAACGGGCAATACAAAGCGAAGGGGAAAAGTCGCAGGCATCCACAACCTATAGCAGCTTTATACCGACCGGGCGCAGCACCTCTACAGCCCTCCGCTGATAGAATTGATAGGAGATCCAGGCCAGGCACACGTTAATTTCCCGACTCGGCCGGCGCTGGTGAACAAGCGTTGTTCGCCGTTTGAAGCTTGAGCAGTGCTTTCAGATGCAGTCGGGTGTGGTGCGCCTGGTGTAGTCCTGGAGATGTTTGAGGACTTCGCGCAACTGCGACCTCCTGCGTTGCGTTTTAGGTCATTACAGACTAGGCAGAAAGGAGATGGATTCGGCGTACTTACATTCAGATCATGGTAGCGCCAAATCACATTTCCGCCGCCAGCCCACGGTGGACATGAGGCGTTGATTGATGACGGCTCGTTGCTATTGAGGATGCGCGCTGGCCGACACGACCTGTAGCGACGCTTTCAGAATGGAGTCAGAGCGGAGGAGTTGGCTGACGTACATAACTGTATATGCGCAGGGGCGCTGACCAATATGCAAGTGTATATAGAATGGAAGCTGCTGAGTCGAGTGGCCTATTCCTGAAGTGGAGGGGTCAACTGCCCACCGATACTCGATGCCGTGCGCGACCCCGAGGTCTAGTGGGCCCTACGTAGTCGATTGGCCTGCGCCCTCTTGGCGCTACTGCATACGTAGGGCTTTAGAGGGAAGATCCGAAGAGAAAGGACAACAGTCGCCGTAAACGTACACCAACACCTAGTCGTGATAGCGGTATGTAAAGCCACCGAGTTTTGGCGAAGGACGACCGCCCTGACTCTGTGGCTAGATCCTGGCGCTGATAGTAGCAGTGGTAGTACATCTCCCAGCGCCCAGGTGTATTGCAGTGGTTCGCAGCGCTCTGCTATGTAGATGCGATGAGCCCAGTCGGGCGCAAACGCCGACATCGGGGTTAACTGTTACAGTCGTATTATTTGCTGCGTGGTAGCAAAAGCCCCATCTATCGCGAGGCAAACGGTACGTGCAATTCAGACTTCAGCAGCAAGTACTGGTGCACATGAGCGCCTATTGTCTGTGATATACACAAGTCCATCATGGCGGTGAGAGGAAAGATGGTGCCACGACGCGCCCCGCGCGGGCAATATTCTTCGGTGCGTGTCAGGGGAATTCGAAATTGGAGTCGTCCGCAATCTCTGCTCCCAACGGCCACCACCTCTCTCGTCCATCTGCTGGCAAATCGTAGGGTGTTTCGCAACACCTTGGTCAGGATTGTACTACCATGGCTAAATGTGCGCGTTTTTTTGGCTTTGCTTGAGTGTTGGATACGTGGCTGAAGCCAAATGTGATATAGTCCGTTTATTGGATGCCGTGCGGCCGCTCACGTTCATACTGCCTGACGTGTCGTCGCCGGGTCGTCAGGTGTGTATGCACTTTAATATCCCATACGCTTCCCTATAGGAGCAGGGATATTGCAATGTCATATACAGCGAGACTGACGTGTCGGGCAGGTTCCATTCAACCTGAAGATCATGTTCACCTCGTTATCAGCCCTGCTCTTTCTCTGGATGTCGCAAATTAAACCTTTCGGCACCCTGACTGTCGACACTCCGGACCCGCTCTACTCTGTTCGCGGTAGCATTGCCGCCAGCAAAGGCTCGCTCACAGAGCTCGGCGTTCTCCCCATCCTCACCTCGGGCTTCACGTTGCAACTGCTGGCGAGCGCGCGTCTGATTGACGTCAACTTCAGCCTCAAGGAGGACCGGGCGCTATTTGGATTTGTGCAGAAGGGTAAGCGTGTCTTACGTTTGGACTATGAACACGACGCAGTTGCATGGCCAAGTTACGCACATGACCGCGTCGAGTGCGCTTGAATACCGGACTTTGTTCTTCCTATTCGGTCGCTTCGATATAACAAGTCGATACTGATTATACCGTGCTCTACAGTCTTTGCAGTCGTCGCGGCCATCGTCCAAGCCACTCTAATCGTCCTCGCCGGCGTTTACGGCACCCCCACGCAACTCGGTCTCACCGGCATCGCCATCCTTGTCGCGCAACTCTCCGCCGCAACCCTCGTCCTCGCGCTCCTCGACGAGCTTCTTGAGAAGGGCCACGGCCTTGGCTCGGGCTCGATGCTCTTCATCGGCGCGCACGCGTGCACGACGGCCGTCTGGGGCGTGCTCTCCCTCCGCTGGGTCGACACCGCGCGCGGACAGCAGTACGAGGGCGCGCTCCCCGCGCTCCTGCAGTTCGTGTTCGGGTGGAACAGCGTCTCGCGCGGGCTCAAGGAGGCGTTCTGGCGCGCGCATCTGCCGAATGTGCTTGATGTTGTCGCTACGCTGGCTGTCGTGGCCGCGTGCGCGTTCCTCCAGCGCGTGCGCGTCGAGTTCCCCGTGAAGCATACGCGCTATCAGGGCCAGCGCGGGGCGTACCCCATCCGCATTCTGTACACTGGCGTCGTACCGCTTATGGCCGCCGCGGCGCTCCGTGCGAACTTGCTGCTCGACCTCAGCGCGATCGCGGGTGTGCTGCCGGATAACATCGTCACTTCCATTCTGGGATCGTGGGTCAACGTCGACGGCTCGCTCGTCCCCGTCGGCGGACTCGCCTCGCTGCTCGTACCCCCGACATCGCTCATCAACGCGCTGCTGCATCCTATTCAGACTGTGGTCTATACGGCGTTCAACGTATCGGCCGCTGCGATCTTCTCTTCGCTGTGGCTGTCCGCGTCCGCGAGCGAGCCGTTCCATGTCTCCAAGCAGCTGCAGGAGCAGCAGCTCGTGCGTACTTCTCACAACCCCGCCCGCGTGAAGAACGGTAACTGATTATTATGGTAGACGATGGTCGGCCACCGCGAAGGATCCATGTCCAAAGAATTCAAGCGTGTCATCCCCGGCGCCGCGTTCCTCGGCGCGGTCGTCATCTCGGCTGTGGGCGTTTTGGGCGACATCACGGGCGCACTGGCCGGCGGCGCGGGCACGTTCATGGGGCTGCATATCGTACAGACGTACATGGCTATGGGCATGATGGTTCGTTTTTCACCTTCACCTGTCTATGAGGAGAATGCACTGCTGATGCGCGGGGTAGGAGTCGGGATACGGCGAGATGCCGGGCGCGGCGGCAATGATGGACACGCTATGAGCGCGAGCGTACAGCAGAGGCGGAGGCGGTCTCATTCTCAAAACCTGATGCGCATTTGCTGCCATCCCGATGAAGAGGGCCAATGCGCCCGGAGAGTGTGGGGTTGGATTATGTATGCTGTGCAACACTACCTGTACGCCTCTGTTGTGTCGAATAATCAGTGTCTTGTACGACTACAGTCTACCGTTGGCGATACCGTTGGATTCGAGCGGTGGTAGGGATGAGGCGGTGATAGCGGCGTCTCACCCGGATCCTACGAGCCCATGACGCGCTTCTGCTCCTCACGGTGTCTAGCTTCCTTCCCTACCAAGTGAATTCTACACAGACATCTCTGATCAGCTGTGCTTGAAGTAGCAGTCCAGGAACGGAAAGAGGTGCGCATGGAGCGAAGACGCAGATAATACGTCAGGGCGGTGTTCACTGTTTCGCTCGTTATAAGAGCACGGTGGCTCTTCAACGGACTTTTTGAATTGCGCACTCGCACGGTACTTGCTCCTTACTCTCACTCTCACTACAAAGACTATGACAGCCACGACAAGCACACGCGCGCGCACCCTCCTCCTCATCGCCATAACACTCGCATCCCAAACCGAAGCCTTACGCTCGACCGGACGCGGAAGACGGTTAGTCGGCGGGGCCATCGCAGGTGCGCACTTCTCCCCACTTCCCCTTTCTACGATAATTAATGGCTACTAGGGATCGTCATCGGCTGCATCGTAGCCGTAATAGTAGCCCTCATCCTCCTCTGGCTCTGCTGCCGCCTCTTCCGCCGCCGTCGCTCGGGCCGCGTCGCTGTTGCGCCCGCTCCTGGGCCGCAGCCTGCGTTCGCTGCGCCACCTCCACATGCGGGTCATGCAGACTATGCCGTGCGTCACATCATTCCACACACTACACCCCCATCTGACCGTCTGTCACTATACTAGGCGCCGCCTGGTCCGCCGCCCGCGACGTATCAACAGGTGAGTTATGTAAGATGTGCTCGTGGCGGGGTGTGGCGCTGATGACGTCATGGATTTGTAGGGCCAGCAACAGCAGCCGTTCGTTGGTGGGTTCAGGCCGGCTGGTGGGAAGACTACCGTATAAACTCGCGGTTATGCAACCTGTCTTCAAAGCTTGATACCCCTTTTCTATCTGTACTTGTCTGTCGTGCATGTATAATAGTCCTGCGCTTGCCCCCGGACTCTTCGGACACGAATACTGTAGCAATACCTAGTAGCGATGAAACACGAATGGACTTGATGAACATGAACGAATGAATGATATGGGTGCAAGATACAGCGATCTGTTTCATCTCAAGCCAACCGATCAACAACCCTCCCAACCAACCTCCCATCTCCCGCCCTCTCCTCCTCCGTAACACTCAAATCAATCTTCATCCCCACCCCCGCCGGCACACACCCCTCCCCGAACTCCCTCTGCAGCGCGCACTTGACCGCGAAGCCGGAGCAGTGCATAGGCAGAATATATGTTGGCGAGGGGACGAGGTCGTTGGAGAGGAAGGATATGGTTGGGGGGATGCGCGGGAGGAGTTCGGGGCCGGCGAGGTGCAGGCCGCCGATTATCTGTAGGCGGACTCTGTGAGATATGGAGTCTGGTATAGGCGGGAGTTGTGGCGTACCATGTATACGGGTCGGCCGAAGGTGGAGACTGCGTCTTTTACGACGTTTACGATTCCGGCGTGCGAGCACCTACGATGGACGCGAGCTTGGTGAGAAAGAGTACGTTCATACGTTCGACGAAGAGTAATCACGCGCTAAAGAGGACCAATCCCTTCCCGACGACATCAACAGCCGCATACCGTTCATCCATAATATCCTATCCATCATCAGCTCCTCAGCTCGACCAGAGAACGTCAAGGGGAGCCAACTTCTTCAGGGGTCCATCCTTTGCCTTCAACCCATCTAACACCCCCAACCAGCCCCGCCTCAAACGGCGTAACCCGCGGAATCTCCCCGCTCACCCACACCGTTCCGCCCGCCACAGTGTGCCCCTCGTCGTGCTTCTCCACCACACCGCCTACAGACTCTATAGTCTCGAAAGACGGATCGGGCGGGAGCTGGCATACGACGCGCCCGCCGGCTTGTGGAGGCGCGATGCCGCGGGCGTAGGGGCGCGACGGGTGCAGATCGACTATACACGGCGTTACGGGGGAGTTGGGTTGGTTTTGGGAGGTGAGAGAGCGGTGCGTGAGGAATGAGAGCAGGCCGCCGGAGTGGTCGCTGTGCCAGTGGCTCAGCACGACGCGGGAGATGGTAGTTGTGTCGATCTCGAGGGCGTTTAGGTTGCGGGCTATGGATTGCGAGTCGGGGCCGGTGTCGAAGAGGGTGCGGTGGACGGTGTTGGTGGAGGGGTCTTCGGTTTCCTGTGGCGATATCTGGTTAGAGAGGGAGGGTAGAGGGAGGGTGTGGGAGGCGTACGATTAAGGCGGAGAGACCGTGTGCGCCTGTATCACACAATACATGTTTATGATATAGCATGCTGGTTGAGTCAGTGAGTGCGGCGCACCACAGCAGAACTTCTCAAAGTTCAGAACGGGTACGCCAGTGGTAGGATCGATAGTAGGCTGCTGGTCGCGGAGATGCTGGTGTATCTCGTGCGAGAAGCCTGGAGGCAGTTTCGTCATCCTTTGATAGGACTTTCAGTCAGGACTCATAGATGATCCTGTACGTCTCCGGGATCATGATACAGTAAGATGCCTACCATTCGATCGAATTATCTACGAGAAAGTTGACGGATAGTCTCTCGACGCGTTTCAAGCCAGTGTTCTGAGCGGCCATCGTAGGTTAGTTTATTGGTTCACAGCGGCTATTTGCAATCTCATGCAACAGTAAGTTCGATCCCCAAATAGAAATGTGAGGCGTAAGATCTCAGTAGATGGTGGTCTGAGTTCAACAAGCGGTCCGCGCCCAGACAAAGTCCAGGCGCCAGAACACTCGCACGGCGAAGTCGCGGTTACGCTTTAGCTTCTTGACAACCTCCACCACCACCACTACAGCCAATCCCCTCGCAAAGCGTCCTCAATATGGCACACAACACCGAACCATACGTACAGTCCGGCGAACCCCTCCACGAGTTTCTTCGTTCGTTCTGGCAACGACAAGTCGACATGGCGGAGGAAGAGGTGCCGGACTACAGGCATCCGCCTTTGCCGCTTGCGAGGATCAAGAAGGTTATGAAGAGTGACCCGGACGTGAAGGTACTTGCTATCCTTGATGTTGAGTAGTATAGTATTGATGGTCATCATTGTAGCAAATGATTGCTGCCGACGGTGCGCGCACAGACCCTACACACGCCCCACCCGTCTAACCGTACGCGCGCGGCAGCCCCCATCCTCTTCTGCAAAGCCTGCGAAAGCACGTCCCCAACCACCTCTCCCATATTATATACTAATACTAACGACTCTATAGTACTAATAGCAGAGATCACCGCGCGCGCGTTCATAGTGGCAGACGCGAACAAGCGCCGCACGCTCTCGCGCTCCGACATCGCCAAGGCGCTCGCCAAGTCCGACCAGTTCGACTTTTTGATCGATATCGTGCCGAGGGAGGATCCGTTTCCTGGGGGGCGGTCGAAGAAGAAGGGCGCGGAGGGGGCGGGGGCGTCGGGGTCGAAGGAGGCGTCGGCTTCGCTGGTGCGTTTTTGGGTTGTTCACTGTCTGTGTGCGGTTGACTGACGGGTTGAGATAGAAACAGGAGGAGGGCGATGGACGGGCTGCGGGGGAGGCTCAGGTGCAGCAGCCTGGGCAGAGTAGCCAGCACGTCATGGACCAGGTGCGCCTTGACGCTCGTGTACCTTGCAGGCTTGTCTGACCTCTCGCGCAGTTACAGTCTATCTTGAGTCTTCATCCTCCGCCTATGTAGAGACTCCGTGATATAGAACTACATTGTACAGTATCGTCGCACCCCGATCCCTCGCTCTTGTTGTTATAGTATGCTGAATTCCCGTTTCACACGAGTTGCTGAGCACACAAGTCCTCTCGCGTGCGCTCCTAGTCTGGCAGTCTTTCTTTCATGGAAGCCCACACCGCGCGCACACCTCGATCTAATAGCACATCACTCATGTGCTCTGGGATATGACGACGTCGCGCCCAGTTTAGGCAGCTGCTGATCAGGTGATAGTTCGTGCTCTTCCAATATAAGAAGGATCGGGCTTCTCGTACATCGAGGAAGCGCTTCGCCACACCGCGATGAAGGGCATCAGTCTGATAACTCTCGGTCTCGTCACCGAGAGCTTTACAGCGTCTACTACGCGCTTACCTCCTGCGCCGTTTCGCGATCCTCCCAGTGCTGCCGTCGACCATGTCAACACGTGCGTACTACGTTTAATGTGTTTTCCTAAGTAGTGCGCGACTGACATCGTCCGGTAAGAATGATAGGCAACGCCGGCGACACGCCCAACGGCTCGGGCGGCACGATCCCCTCCACCGCGCCCCCCTTCGCCATGACGCGCTGGGTCGCCCAGACGCGCCGCAACTACGTCTCCGTCACGCCCTACAACGTCACCGGTACCCATATATACGGGTTCCAGGGCACGCATCAGCCCGCGATATGGATGGGCGAGAGCGGGTGCGTGGGTGTTGTGCCGGGCGCGGGCGAGGTGAGGGCGGGGTGGGAGGAGCGGGGGATGAGGAAGGTGGAGGGGGAGGAGAGGTGGGGGGTTAGTTGGTATGG